TATATGCTAACTGGCAATAAAGTAGATGCAAACATAAAGACGAAAAATGTGAACTATAAACTGCAGGGTGGCCATGTTAGTCTACATGGCCGTCTGAGGGGAGTCTCTCATGGCACTGTTACCACACTGTCCCTGGGTAGCCAGGCCTCCTTCCGTCCTCCCCATGCCGATCTCCGCTCACCGGTCGGGTCCCCCGTGGCACCGTGGGCACTCAGGAGCGCAAACTGCCCGTTGGACCCCCCCCCCACAAAGTCCACTGGTTGTCCGCTCCCTGCACCTCCCCAGCTCCACTTGAGTCCCTTGACGTGTGCGTTCCAATGTTTCACCCGGTGCCGGCCACACATTTGAGTCGGTGCCCATCCCCCACGACCACCGGTCCGTCGAGGGGGTAGCGCGGTCCCACCCCACAAGGCTCACGGCTTCGGGGACAGGTCTCTCCGGGGACCCCACAAACCCAGAGGCTTGGGCGCCCACTCCCCAGTGGTCAGCAACACAGCACGGAGGATCTGTCCAGTGCTTGGCTTTACCAGGGCCCGTGTGAGCCGGCCATGTCAGACCCCCTTGATGCTTAGAGTGAGTCTTCAGGCGGGCTCTTGTCTGGCATCCTTTACCCGTTCAGGTGGTCAGCTCGGGCCCCGCGCGGTTTCCTCCAGCTCGGAGTGTGCCGCTTCCATGCGGCCGGGGGGCGAGGGGGGAGCGGGGCCGAGCCGTCATCTGCAACTGTGTGGCCCCCATGTAGGCCTTATAGCTAGTATATCGTTATATCTGGGCTGCTGGTCAGTTATCTGTGCATCTTCAGGGGCTGCCATCATCCAGGTTTATGATGACGAGTAGGCCGCTTCGTTATTTTCGGTGTTCCCGGCCCAAAACCGGCCTCGGTTTGGTATCCCAATGAAGCTTAAATGTTTCTTGTTAATTATATGTCGCTTATTTCTGTTTTGGGGTGGTCTGAGTGTGGATTTATTGCAGTTTTCCCGGGCTCAGGCCAGGAGCCATGGTGTTCTGCTGCCTTTCAGCTCGGCGGCCCCGCCCCCCGCACACGAGGATTTAGGTAGTTTCTGCCATTCATATCTACAGATCCTCTCATGCTCTGTTTCTCTCTTTCTCTTTTTTATTTTATTTTCAACCGGTTTTGTTGAAGCATAATTCTGCTAGTTATGGTGTCTTAGTTTTATAATTAATATACTACTAATCTGTCTTCGTAAACATTACATTCCACCGTTTCACATTGTTTTATTATCCTATTATCACTGTAAAATCATATTTGTCATTTGTTTTATTTTTTCTATATTGGCACTATTGTATCATGACTTCCTGTCTATTGCCGCAAAAATAAAAATTTTATAGTAATAAAATAAATTAAAAAACCTCTCTTCTCTCACACCAGGCCTGATTGTCTCTATTAACCTGCTGCTCTCTCATATGCTAGTGAGACTGCCTGAATTTACTGCATCAGATGTTAAATGTTTTCACAGGATCATTAGCCTCAGGATACATAATTAAACTTACTGTGATCTATCTGCTCTACATTTCACATAATTATTTACACACATGGTAGGCATTCAATCATATAGCAAATTCTGTCAAGTCAAAAAAGCAAGGTTTTTATTAACCATAAACAGCCCATTCTCTGATACGTAGCTCATACGTGAAAAGTATATATAAGGCAATGAAGACACTTGCAGACAACGGACACAATTTAATAAAGCAACATGCTTGTATTTCTTTAATTCTGTTTATTTCATTGAAAATATAAGGCTAAATACGCAGAGCCAAAATTAAACATTTGTCCCTGTACCTAAAATAATTTTAGGTTTTTGTCAAAGGTTGTTGGTTTCTGCTTTTTGGGGGACACAATTCATTATAAGCAGAAGAATATCAAGAATTTAGCATATCTCAGTTTGAGAAATAGTGAGCTAAACATATATAAATTATCTTAAAATAAAGCTAAATAAAAGAACAAAAGAAGGACAGAACAGTCTTGGCAGAGGTGCTATATTTTACGTTGCATTATTATCTTTTACAATTATAGCTATCCTAGTTTTTAACTCAGTTGTGATTCTCATATTAGTACAATTGAAGTGTAATCATTTTTGTAGTAGCTTTCTTGGTTGCCTAGGCAAATATTTTGGTTAAGTAGTTTATTGGATTTTAAAAATTGGAATAAAATTAACACAAAAAGTCTTGCTAAGGAAAAAAAAAAACTTAAAAAAGTACCAATGTATATAAAACAAGCTGATAAGTGTGCATAAATCACAAAAGCATAATACCTCCCATCAATATACAAAGAAGGAGGACACTATCCTAAAACCCACATCTTGTGCCAGGGGGTGAATGGGTTTTGCGTTCTAATCTGATATATGTGCTGCTCCCATGCTTGACTGACCACATCCACTGGCTGTAAAGGTCATACAGAGGTTTGTCATCACAATGCCAAAAAGTGGGAAGCATACCAAGAGAATGGAAAGCAAAAAATATCAACACCTTACAAATGCATTTCAAATACACTGTTAAAGGGGCACTATAGTCACCAGAACCACTACATCTTAAAGGGACACTATAGTCACCCAGACCACTTCAGCTCAATAAAAATGCTGCATTTTCAGACCAAAATAGACAGTGTTTACATTGCTGCCTCAGACGGCCACTAGAGGTGCTTCCTATGTCAGTGCAAGGCCAATGTTTAGCGTCCCCACACTCTGCATGGAGACGCTGAACACTCCCTATAGAGATACATTTATTCAATGCATCTCTATGCGGAGATGCTTATTGGTGCAGCGTTTTGAAGCACATACACTATGAATCTTTCCTATGAAAAGATTAATGATGCCAGAAATGGAGGCAGGGCCAGCTGTTTCAATGGAGAAAAGGTAAGTTAAAACACTTTTTTACTCCATTTAGGAGGGGGGGACACCTAACGAGGTAGTGCAAACACTATAGTATTAGTAAAACATGTTTGTATTCTTAACATTATATTATCCCTTAAAACCTCAGCAAAGTTTATAAAATTAGGAAATACCTAAAATAAAGATTTTGTTTTCTTTTGTTTTTTTTCAGGTTTTTCTGAGATAGTTTGTGACCTCCTGTACACCCCCTTTCCATAATGTGCACACTTAAACCTGTATTACATACAGTACTCAATGTGTCAAAACAGAACGTGTTCTATAGAATTGAATTGTATGGAGTAGAAGTAAGTGCTACTGTGAACTAAGTTGAGAAAAAAAATAATGATTTGATCCACTTACGTATTTTTAAAAACAGCAGAGCAAATTGTATTAGATGCATTGTTTTATGTTTAAAAAAACCGCTAACCTAATCTCAAAGACATCCTGCCAGGGCTGGTTTTGGAGTCAGATGTGAATAAGGTAATTGCTTGTGCCCCAAGAGATGCATTATCTCCAGTCATAGTGCTGATATTTATATTTTGCATTCATTATGGGAATCTCCATTTCCCCAAATTACCAGCAGCGTTCTTACAAATATCCATCTGTGCAGTGTGACTATTTTTTGAGCACAGTTGGATATTATTCTGTGCTAACATTTCTGAACCGATTGGAATTTTTGTTTGCTATAATAAACATATATAATCACCCATTATTTCTGGAAAGGAATTAGAAATAAATGGAAAAACTAAAATTCTGTAATGTGCATTACTTTTATTTTCAAGTACATTTAAGCATCTGCATACCACTTGGTTGTTTTGTTCTGACTTCAAGTGCTATATTTGCATCATATATTTCAAATATGTGCTGATTCAAAACATTGTTTAAAACACAGGCACAGTGAATAAGTGAAATCATTCTATTGAATCATTATCTATAGAATAACCAAATGGTCCTGCAGTCACAGCAAAGTGAATACATATTAGTGCTAAGCTTACTAAAATCTTAGCGACTTAAACTATTTAAAATAACACATACGCTGTAATAGTTTCTGGAATAGCTGGAGTTATTTTTGCCATTCTCTTTTTCTAGAATACTGCTTTTACATTGCAGGTACCGCTCCAAAAATAGTTTGCTGTTTTCTGTCATACATCATATTCTAACTGGCTACAAACATTGCCAAAACACCAGTTCAAATATGTGATCCTAAAATATAATTTTTGCCTGGCGTTAAGTCTTAACATCTGATGTGATGCGTGACAGAAAGTAATTGTGTATTTCTGGAGCAGTACCTGTAGTGCAGAAGCAATATTCTACATAAAAGAATGTGACCTTTTTCAATATGAGACATACCCTCTCCTGGGAAAGTGCTAAAAGTAATCCTCCTTGTACTAACGAGGCACAATGTGCATTATTGTTTTTTCATTTAGTTTTTGAGGAAAAATAAGTGGATATCTTATAAACTCTAAATTTCTCATATTTTGATATAACCCTCTGTGCACATTGGCGAAAGTGGGCGTCTCCCCCTCCCCAATTGTTTTCCCGACAATTTAGCCCTGAAGTGGCTGTTTAGGTGATTGCCCCTCACTCAAATCTCAATAAAAAGGTAATTTTACTCACCTTTTCTCCCATGCCTTGTTGGTTTTGCCAGGGTAGTCCCGCCTGGCTCGACCTCCATGGCTGAGATCATCAATCTTGATGATTTCAGGCAATCCAACGCCTCCCCATAGGTCTTGTATTGGGAGCCTATTGTGCATGCATGGTGACAATCAGCATCTCCTCATAGTGATGCATTGAGTCAATGCATCTCTATGGGGAAAGTTCAGCATCTCCATACACTGCTCTACCAGCATGGGTAGGCTATAGACACCAGAACTACTACATTCAGGGGTCAAGTCCTGGGGAAAAAAGTGTGGGAACTCACCCAAGATTCCTGCCCCCCCCCCCCAAAAAAAAATCATTTACACTCCTTTGCATATAGTGCAGTGCAGGGTGTGTATAATGATGTAGTGTGTTTGTAGTGAATGCAGAGTGTGTATAATGAATGTAGTGTGTTTGTAGTGAGTGCAGAGTATGAATAATGAATGAGGTGTGTTTGTAGTGAATGCAGAGTGTGTATAATGAATGTAGTGTGTTTTGTAGTGAGTGCAGTGTGAATAATAAATGTACTGTGTTTGTAGTGAATGCAGAGTGTGTATAATAAATGTAGTGTGTGCATAATGAATGCAGAGTGTGTATAGTGAATGTAGTGAGTGCAAAGTGTGTATAGTGAATGTAGTGAGTGCAGAGTGTGTATAGTGAATGTAGTGTGTTTGTAGTGAGTGCAGAGTGTGTATAATGAATGCAGTGTGTGTAGTGAGTGCAGAGTGTGTATAATGAATGTAGTGTGTTTGTAGTAATTGCAGATTGTGTATAATGAATGTAGTGTGTTTGTAGTGAATGCAGAGTGTGTATAATGAATGTAGTGTGTTTGTAGTGAGTGCAGAGTATGAATAATGAATGTAGTGTGTTTGTAGTGAGTGCAGAGTATGAATAATGAATGAGGTGTGTTTGTAGTGAATGCAGAGTGTGTATAATGAATGTAGTGTGTTTGTAGTGAGTGCAGAGTACGAATAATGAATGAGGTGTGTGTGTATAATGAATGTAGTGTGTTTGTAGTGAATGCAGAGTGTGTATAATGAATGTAGTGTGTGCATAATGAATGCAGAGTGTGTATAGTGAATGTAGTGAGTGCAAAGTGTGTATAGTGAATGTAGTGTGTTTGTAGTAAGTGCAGAGTGTATATAATGAATGCAGTGTGTGTAGTGAGTGCAGAGTGTGTATAATGAATGTAGTGTGTTTGTAGTAATTGCAGATTGTGTATAATGAATGCAGTGTGTATAATGAATGTAGTGTGTTTGTAGTGAGTGCAGTGTGTATAATAAATGTAGTGTGTTTGTAGTGAGTGCAGAGTGTGTATAGTGAATGTAGTGAGTGCAGTGTGTATAGTGAATGTAGTGTGTTTGTAGTGAGTGCAGATTGTGTATAATGAATGCAGTGTGTGTAGTGAATGTAGTGTGTTTGTAGTGAGTACAGATTGTGTATAGTGAATGTAGTGAGTGCAGAGTGTGTATAGTGAATGCAGTGTGTGTAGTGAGTGCAGAGTGCAGGGCCGAGTGAGTGCAGAGTGTCATGGGCCTGACGGTCCTGGGGGCCCGGACTGCTCATTTGTGCACATATAGATAGTGATTATAGCTATCTATATGTTCACCTGCGGGGGCAGACTCGGGGGCCCACACTTTGAACTGTGTCAGGGGCCCCAAAATTTCTGATGGCAGCCTTGGCAGAGTGTGTACAATTAATGCAGTGTGTGCATAATGAATGCAGAGTGTGTATAGTGAATGTAGTGAGTGCAAAGTGTGTATAGTGAATGTAGTGTGTTTGTAGTGAGTGCAGAGTGTGTAGAATGAATGCAGTGTGTGTAGTGAGTGCAGAGTGTGTATAATGAATGTAGTGTGTTTGTAGTAAGTGCAGATTGTGTGTAATGAATGCAGTGTGTGTGTGCTGGAAGATGCGTGTGTGCTGGAAGATGTGTGTGTGTGTGTGTGCTGGAAAATGTGTGTGTGCTGGATGATGTGTGTGTGCTGGATGATGTGTGCGTGTGCTGGATGATAGGAGGGGAAGCATTTTTTTTTTAAATTTATGTGTTTATATATATATTTTTTTATTCCCCCTTCCCTGCTTCTTACCTTGCCAGGGAGAGGGGAGATCGCCTGGTGGTCCGGTGGTATGGTGGAGAGAGCCAGCCGGTGCACACGGGGGTCCAACACACTCTGTGTTCCCTCTCCCGGCCCTTTGTATATCTCATTCTTCATACCACAACCTTTGTGTTTCTCTTAGTTCCTCATCAGCCCGTTTGTGTGTCTCTTTTCTCCTCACAGCCCTTTTGTGTCTCTTTCTTCCCCCCAGCCCCTCTGTGTGTCTCTTTCTTTCCCCCAGCCACTTTCTGTGTCTCTTTCTCCCACCACGAGCCCCTTTGCCTGGCTTTTTCCTCCCAAACACAACAGATATAGATATACAGGTACAAATACATACATGCATAAAGGCACAACCATACAGGCACATAGTCATAAAAGGTACACAAACAAACACAGTCATACAAGCAACCAGTCATGCACAGACAGTCATACAGAGACACACAGACGGTCATACAGAGACACACAGACGGTCATACAGAGACACGCAGACAGTCATACAGAGACACGCAGACAGTCATACAGAGACATGAAGACACAGGCATACAGAGACATGAAGAAAAAATGAAAAAATAAATAAAACATGGCTGCTTACCATTGGTGGTGTAAGTAGCTGAAAAGAGATGTTCTTAGCTCTCCCTGCTCGGTAATCCTCTAGCAGGGTCTGACAGGAAGTGATGTAAAATGCCCCGCCCACTGCAGTCTTCACTCCTCAGTAAACTACCGCGGGGGAGAGTAGTGTGAGCAGGCACATCTCCTGCATCGTGACAGCCATTATACCACCAACAGCAGACAGTGTATTGTGGGCGGCACTGTGCTGGGGACTGGGAGAAATGAGGCAGCACAGCGACGTTGCACCCCCTGTGAACACCTGTCCTGCAGGATCACTAGCGGGAACGGCGTTCCTGCTTTGGAAAAAGTGCAGGAACGCCGTTCCCATGCGTTCCTGCAGGACTCGAGCCCTGACTACATTAATCTGTGGTAGTTCTGGTTTTATTTAAAGAAAAAAGTTTTCTTTATTTATAAATATAAATGTTTGTACCTATACCCATGCCATCTCTCCACCCACAACCCCAAAACAACTAATTTCCCTGTCTGTGATGTGTATATTTATGTATGGATTTAGTATCCTGAGAGGCTTTGTGGGTGTTTAAATTCTGCTTTCAAGTATTCAGTTTAATTGATAAAAAAAAAAACCTGTCTATTAGTCCATGTTGTGCAGAGAGGTTCATGGGGGTGTCTATAAAGAGAGAGCTCAATTTCAGACCATTTCATCACACCATCTCACCCAACTGCTTTTCTTGTGTGTATATATATATATATATATATATATTATAGCAAACTGAAAACGGTTCATAGGGACAATTTTTTCTGATCATCCAGTTTGGCCTAGTTTTCGAAACACATGTTGATTTAGTGGCAATTACTTCTCCCTATAGTGTATAGGTTGTCCTAAAACCCCTGCTCCTGAGGCCACACCCACAGAATGGACGACCTGCATCAGTTAATTAATATTTCCTGCCATTGACCAACAAATTATATAGAATATTGTCTTGAACCACCTTTTATCAACTCCCCCCTACCGCTTCAGTATTTCCCCCTAATTTATTTCAACAGCAATATTTTTACAAATCTTTCCACCCAGCCATTTCCCACCAAATTGCATCTTTCAGACTGACTATAGAAACTGCCCAGGGCACACATGAGCCTTTGTGTTCATAGAATAAATGAAGACCAGAGCTGGAGAGGATGACTTAAAGGACCATTATAGTGCCAGGAAAACAAACTCAGGGTCCCACTCCCGCCAGGCTGAATGGAGAAGAAGGGGGTTAAAAACTCACCTTTCAGGGCGGAGCCTAACAGCAGAGGCAAGCAGACGCAAGACTCAGGAGCTCCGAGCCCAAAACTGAGAAAATACACTTAAAAACGGCAGATACTACCCCCAATAACCACTGACCGAAAGCAGAAACCCCTTAAGCCCTAATGGGATGCAAGCACAAGAAACAGACGCCAGACAAACCAGCCCCAGGACTCACAATAGGGGAAATGTGGCGGCAGGCATGCGGCCCGAGCGGATCCAATATGGCGGTGCTCCACGGAGGCTGCTCGGATTTCTCAGATGACTGCTCAGGGGGAGCAGAAAGATATGCGGGACCTGCGCAACCAAAATATGCTGTATGAACGGCGCTTTGCAACCCAGGAAGACACAAGACGTAGACTCAATATAAAGGTCAGGGGGATCCCAGAGGCTGACCTATCGCACACGATCAAGCACCTGCTAACCACCATACTGGCCCCAGACCAAGCCAAAGCCATCACACCCACGGATCTCTTCCGGATTCCAAAACCCGCTGGGGCCCCAGACTATACTTACCTTTAAAAACGGGTCAGACAAATTGACGGTCCTCACCGCCGTCCGGGGTAAAGCCCCCATACAGTTTGAGAATGCAGAATTAACCTTCTACGCTGACCTGTCCTGTGGAACTCTGGCGTGGCGCAGGTCACTTCAGCCTCTCGCCTCCACACTCCAGCGCGACAACATACCGTATCGCTGGTGGTCCTCACACACGCTCCTGGTACAACATGGTGAAACAACACACCAAATCTACAGCATGCAAGACGCACCGGTTCTTCTACGAACCCTGGGTCTGTCACAGGATTCACTCTACCAAGCAGGACCCCGTGCCCCCACCACCCCGACCCACAGCTGGGATCCAGCAAAAAGTGCCGAATTCAGACCGCAGAGCACCACACTGGTCACCTACTCCTCGGTTGCCACATAAATGGAGCCGAAGGGCGCACCCTCCAAGCTCAGCAACACCACAACCTGCCTACATCGAACTACCGAGAAATAGAGTACCATGCCGGAGCGCCCCCAATACCCCGCAAGGTATCGGCTGATGATATCAATAATCAGGACCCTGAGGACTCTTTTCTTTTCTCATCTTCTTTTTATCTCTCATTATGTATGCCAGCATTTGGAGCAGGACTCTTGCCTGGAGGACCCCTCAAGGGACACCAGAACAACTACAGCTTATTGTATTTGTTCTGGTGAACAGGGCCGGCCTTAGGGGTGTGCAAGCTGTGCAGCCGACACAGCTCGCAGTGGATTATGCACAGGCCAGCTCAAGTTATGTGTCTGCAGTGCAAAGCAAGTCAAGTGCCTACTGCTGTACTTGACTTGCGAATAATGAAGGAAGAGCCGCGGCCAGAAATCTTATCACTTATGGAGGAGGAGGTCTGGTCCATGCTGCGTGGAGGAGAAGAGTGGGGGCGCGACGCCACGCACTTACATGACCTCAACGTGCTCCGCCTTCACAGTGAATCGCAGAAGGATCCGCTCAGTCAGTGTAAGGGAGGAGGCTGGTGCTTTGAAGTTGTGGACTGGGACACTCTAAGCTGAGTCCAGAGAAGAGCAGGCTGTAATGAGAGTCTGATTGTTCTTGTTTACTAATGCTTTTTGGGGTTTTTTTTTAGACAGATTGGATATTGTAAAAGTGGGGGCAAGGTTTTTGATGAATGGTGGAATGGGTATTAGTGTAGTAGGAGCGGGAGTTTTGTTGAAGGGGGCAGAGTTCTTATTGAAGGGGGCAGGGTTTTTGGTGAAGGGTGAGGGTGGCATTATTGATGTGGGAGCAGGGTTTTTTTTGAAGGGGTGTGCAGGGGTTTTATTGAAGGAGGGCATGGCTCTTGTTAAAGAGGGGCTGGGATTTTAGTGGAGGAGATTTGTTGAAAGGGTGGCAGAGGTTTTGGTGAACGGCAGACAGGGGATTTGTTGAAGAAGGGTTTGTTGAAGGGGGCAGGGTTCTTGTTGAAGGGTGGCAAGGGTTTGTTGAAGGGATGCATGGCTCTTGTTGAAGAGGGGCTGGGATTTTGGTGAAGGGGTTTTGTTGAAGGGTGAGCAGGGGTTTTGGTGAAGGGGTAGCAGTGGCTTTGGTAAAAGGTGGGCAGGGGTTTTGTTTAAGGGTGGACCACTGATGAAAGGAGGCAAGGGTTTTGTTGAAGATGGGCAAGGGGTTTGTTGAAGGGGGCAGGGTTTTTGTATAAGTAGGTGCAGGCGTTTTGGTGAAGGGAGTGCTGGGATTTTGTAGAGGTGGGGTTTTGATGAAAGGGAAGAAGGGGGGAGCCACGAGATTGGCTCGCACAGGGCACCTGTACACCTAAGGCCGGCCCTGCTGGTGAATATAAACATTCCCTTCAGGCTCTTTGCAGTACACACTGTTTTTTGTTTTTTTTCCAGAGAAAAGGTAGTGTTTACATTAGAGCCTAGGGATACGTTCACTGGCCTCTCCTAGGATGGCTACTCGAGGTGCTTCCTGGGGCAGTGCTGCACACCATTCAGTGTCTCCACGCTCTGCATGGAGACAATGAACTTTCCTTACAGATATGCATTGATTCAATACAGCTCTATGAGGAGATGCTGATTGGCCAGTACTGTGTTTAACTTGTGCTGGCTCTGCCCCTGATCTACCTCTTTGACAAGCTCAGCCAATCCAATGCTTTCCTATGTGAAAGCATTGCGATTAGCTCAGTTCAACATTTCTGATGATGTCAGCCAAGGAGGCATATAAGGGGCAGAGCCAGCAGCAGTAAGATTTTGCTATATTTAGGGGGGCGGGGGGCCTAAATGGTGTTTAAAATACTATAGGGTCAGGAATATTCCTGACACTTTAATGTTTTAGAGTTCCTGTCCCTTTCGTATTCCTTTAAAGCAAAACAGCACAGGTATGGTACCTTACAACCAATTATCTCTATGGAATCCAGAGCAAATGTATTATCTGTTAGCTTTATCTTCTACTCAAGTCAACAAATAACCTTCTGGATTACATACTTAGAGATGGGAGTCATGATCATTACATGGAAAGACTTGTTACCTGTAGCTACCATCCTGGAGGCCCAGGATTCTGA